CTGTAAAACTGACTGCTCTGAATACCCAGTACCTTTAGTGTGCATGTGCTGTTATAAGAACAACAGACAAGGTTCACCTTACATTGCTCTTAGAAAAATAATATTCTATCGTACTTAATCTGTGTTTTTCAGCTCGAATACATTTTAAATTCGCGTTTAAGGTCCATAATCTGTGTGTATCAATCAAATACAATGAGTTTTACACCCTTCATGCATAAGCCAAACAAAATACTATTAAATAACGAATCGTCATGGCTTACTTATTTCTGTGTCACATTTCTTGCCAGTATAATCAGGCTCACAGATACACAGAGCTCGAACTGAGCCAAATGTTTCACATCGTCCATGTTGGCTACAGAAACCATCACATAGATCAGCTTTCCGTGTACATCTAAAAATATATACGATTTATAAATAGCCATTATCTGTACTAAGCACCACATATACATATAACATACACATACTAAATTACATACATATTACAATCACATAGTACATACTACGTACACATACCACATAACACATACTACATATTACGTACACATACTGCATACTACGTACACATACTGCATACTATATACCACATAACACATACTACATATTACGTACACATACTGCATACTACGTACACATACTGCATACTATATACCACATAACACATACTACATACTACGTACACATACTGCATACTAAGTACACACACTGCATACTATATACCACATAACACATACTGTTTACCACAATCACATAGTACATACACATACAACATACTACGTACACATGCTGCATACTATATACTACATAACACATACTGTATACCACATACACATATTACATGCACATACTACATACTACGTACACATACTACGTACTAAGTACACATACTGCATACTATATTCTACGTAACACATACTACCAACTGTATACCATATAACATACTGTTTACCACATACACATGATTGGCTGTAGACAAATAATAGAGTTACTTTGGACTAAATAACAATGAATACATGAACCATTGACTCGAATATCCTAGTAGCAAATATACTGTATAATTACCTGGGTTGTTCATACGATGGTGTTTCACAGATACATGTTGCAGAATCAATATTATCTTGACAATACCCATACTCAGTACAGGAATTAGCATCACAGTTATCAATATTGTCCTTTTCACATTGTTTTCCAATAAAAGCTGAATTTACAAAATAGATAACAATATCAAAATAAGAGAGCACTTCAAATATTAAGAAAGAAACGGATACAAAAAAATACAAAAAATCATTATTAAAAGAAAAAATTAAATTACAGTCACTGGGTTAGGCCAAGGTTATTGTGATGAATGTTCAAGATAGAGAGCCGGGGTTAGATTTTAACTGTAGTCGCTACATTAGATACAACAGCTAATAAAAGCAGAAAGAAAGTTTGGTCTAATTTTATTATAGAAATTAGTTAACTGAATAAAACATGAAGAATAGGAAGTGAAACATATTGAAATTGAAACTATATTATATTCGTCACGTCTGAGAGGTTTCAATGATGCGGAATCCAACTTTGTAATGAATGAAACGTATTTTAAACCAAACGATACTAACAGATAGATGCATAGCAACATATTTTCATAATGTCAAGCTATTACGAACGCCGTCTTATACCTTGACTGCATTAGCCAACTTTCTGGTATCACGGAATTCAGCCATTGACAGAATTACTTTAAACATTATGGCCAGGTCTCCGATTAGCTGTATTTGCTAGCGTAAAATACATTTACAACAAAATCGCGGCATTTACAACTTCTTTCATTCAGGTTAATATTGCATATATCAAGGTATAAGACGAAGTGCGTAATAGCTTGATCAATGTGAAGACATGAGATAGAGATGCTGTTAGACATAGGTTATAGAAGTATTCAATGACATGTAAAATACTTACAATAAGTTGTATTACATTTTTTCTCAGACAAAGTGTATTTATCATTGTCTGACTTTGTAATACTGTCTTGCGGACCATACAAATAACAATAGTTGACATTAAAAACAGCGAAAATCGAATAGACGCAATCTCTCTTGTCGAGACATAACTGTTGACAAGCTGCACCATCTGCTACTCCTTTCTGAGTTGAAAAGGAACTCGCGCCATTTAATCCGAATGCTCCAATAACCTCCATTCTACACGTTTCTTCTACAATTATACATGGAAGGATACATCGATTGATAGGAATATGTAATCCAAAGTCAAAAGTTGCAACTGAATATTTAAATGAAAAAGGTTACAACCAAATGAAGTTTCTAAAACAAGGTATACTTCGTCTATTGACTTTATAGTAAAAACCAAAATTCACGTCACAATATTCATAAGATTAAATACAATATCAGTATATGCACTATGTTAAATGGGCAATTCAGGGTCAGCCTCTTTCCGGGTAAGGGGGGCATAATTTAACAGGGCTTTGTTAATGCTTTCCAAGAATATTCTGAAAGGCACACTCGATCGCGAATTTTCTGTTACCAATTCTGAATCCGTTATGGTATCGACTCAAATCCGATTAATATTGATTACAATTTCGCTTTCTGATATGTATAATCTTCTACACAAGTTTTCCAAGAAGGGTGTAGTGATTCTAATGTCGGTCTAATAAGTAGTTGTAGTTTCGAATGGTGTTACAGAAAAACAAACCTGCAGGACATTCACATGTATACCCCGAAGTAGAAGATCTGCATATTCCATTATTCCAGCATGGTTGCGACTGACAGTAATTTATTTCTTCATCGCATAATCTTCCTGTATAACCTTAAATTATAAACAATAATATAAAATCATTATCTTTCTGTATAACCTTAAATATAAACAATAATATAAAATCATTATCTTCCTGTATTACCTTAAATATAAACAATAATATAGAATCATTATCTTTCTGTATAACCTTAAATATAAACAAATATAGAATCATTATCTTTCTGTATAACCTTAAATATAAACAATAATATAGAATCATTATCTTTCTGTATTACCTTAAATATAAACAATAATATAAAATCATTATCTTCCTGTATTACCTTAAATATAAACAATAATATAAAATCATTATCTTCCCGTATAACCTTAAATATAAACAATAAAATCATTATCTTTCTGTATAACCTTAAATATAAACAATAATATAGAATCATTATCTTTCTGTATAACCTTAAATATAAACAATAATATAAAATCATTATCTTCCTGTATTACCTTAAATATAAACAATAATATAAAATCATTATCTTCCCGTATAACCTTAAATATAAACAATAAAATCATTATCTTTCTGTATAACCTTAAATATAAACAATAATATAGAATCATTATCTTTCTGTTTAACCTTAAATATAAACAATAATATAAAATCATTATATTTCTGTTTAACCTTAAATATAAACAATAATATAAAATCATTATATTTCTGTTTAACCTTAAATATAAACAATAATATAAAATCATTATATTTCTGTTTAACCTTAAATATAAACAATAATATAAAATCATTATCTTCCCGTATAACCTTAAATATAAACAATAATATAAAATCATTAACTTTCTGTTTAACCTTAAATATAAACAGTAATATAAAATCATTATCTTTCTGTTTAACCTGAATAATAAATAATAATAAACATCATTATTGTAATATAAACAATACTCTTTAACAATGAGAAACTATAAAAATCAGACATTTCGTACAGGACAGACACAAATTGTTGGAACAAATTACTGAATCGCTGCGTTCTAGCATGTACAAAAAAATACCTACATACAGCAGTGACTATGTTTGTCGTACTGGGATATCATTGTAATTATTGTAATAAAAGAGCGTACCTTGATGACATATGCAAACAGCTTGGTGATTGATATAGGAACAAGTACCATTTCCGCAGGAAATTGAACCACATTCTGGTGCTGAAAATGCAAGTTACTTTGATTAAGGGCAAATACAGTTAGAGCGTATGCAATAATCAATCAAGTGCGATAGAGTTGAGGGGATTTACTTACAGAGTTGTACCAAAGAGAAGGTTTCGTCTAAATCAGTCAAGAATTTTGTCTTCTGGAATGTTAACGAGCTAAAAACAAACAGATGACTGTATATATGCCCATGTTAATGTGTAGGCGTATAAAAGCCACCCCTCGAGTTTATTGTGGTACTGGGTGAGATACAAGGACATTGAAAAATATCCGGAAATGTCTTGATGGATTCATTAACGGTTAAGCTTTGTATCGATACCAAAAGTTTTGCCAGTTTGCTTTTATAGTTTGCAAGTTTGCTGAAAATTTTTAAAAAAATATCGATCCTAAAATGTGATCTTTTGTCTCTAATCGTGACGATATCACATCTGTATGTCACGTCCGAGGAACGGGTAGGGGAAGAGTTATCGTGTTATTGAAACCTACAATGATCATGGCATCAGTAACCAGTTCAAAAGTGGGACTTACATTGTGTACAGTTCTCATTGGAAATTGACGCCATCTCTGTTGTGATTTGATTTTTTGCGCATTCTGTGCATGTCTTCGCAGCACCTGCTGCAGAGTAAAAATGTCTTGGACAAGCGGTACAATCTTCAAATCCAGTGGTTGAATAGTAACCGGGTTGGCAGGGCGCTGAAATAGGATGTGACAATTTCATTATGATGCTTTTTTGAAAAGGATCAATGGAAAGAGTAAATTTGTAAACGGGGTGTCGAACAGGGGGTCTTATTTACAAATACTGATTACATATTTCAATAAGAATCAAATTAGTTCTACAATCAGTGTTTTGATCAGATTAAAAGGGATTGTAGAAACCTCTTTAAAATCCCGTTAACAAGCAGGTCTAAATGCAGATCTAGAAGTTACGCATCCTGTCTTTTTTTTAAATCTGAACAACTTCTTAATCATTCATCATCAGGTTTAGAGTGAAATATATACAGTAATGAAGCACGAAAGAAGAAAAAATGTAATTTAATTATCCAGGCATGAAATTCTAACAATAGTTTGTAAATGTGAAATCTCCATGAATTGTAAGTCATTGATTAGCAAATACTTGAATACCTCAAAATTGGAACAAAAACATTAGCTTTCACAATTTAATTTTCAAACAAGCAACGGTTTAATTCAAATTTTTGGTTTATTTTCTAGGTCTACTTTCACTTTCCAGGACTGCCTCCATCATTGTCAACTTTTAATATTAGTTATTAACAATGCAAAACCTAATTTAATACTGAAAACACAAGCATATTTCAGATATTGAGGGAAAACCTTTCGTCAGATCATGGATAGCTAGTGGAGTCAAGCATATGCCATATTAAAAATGGTACAAATAAATCAAGATACCAACCTTTACACCCCGCCTTCGAGTTCACTCCGTTAACACCAAGGGTTGATCCTCCGTCAGGACAAGGCGAACACTTGACGTTATCTACTTTAAACTGATCGACAGGGCAGGCCTCACAGAATCCTTCTATTCTGTAAAAACCGTCAGGACAGTTCTCTGTAGATAAAACAAAATATAAAGAAATAATTGATGAAATATCCACACTATGAGTGCTTTTATTCACAAGGTTGTTGATGGCTGTTATTATTATTTTTAAAGAGGCATTGGCTTGTTGGACACATTCACATTTGACTTTCGAAGAGTATTTGTAAGTATTAAATTCCTCTCGTGAGTAATAATTGATAATAACTCGAAACCAACCTATACAACTGGACTGAAGTCGTCGTGGGGACACAGATTCGATTGCATTCACACATTTCTTACAGCTCTTCTGATTGGCCATATCTTGGTATTCGCCAGTAAGACAGTCTTCACATGATTTACTGGTCGAGTTGTAAAATGTTCCTGGTCCACATGGCACTAAAAGATAACAAATTGATAATCACTCCATGAAATGGCCAGGTCCTTTTGTTGTCTTCAACCAGCAAATTAATCGCAGACAGGGCAAGAGGATTTTTTTTTTAATGGTTATAATCATCACCATTTTCACAATGTCAAGTTTTTACGAAATGCGTCTGATACCTTAACTTCATTAGCATTCAGTCAGTGCAGCGATTTGATTGGATTGTTGCTAATGACTTTTCGTCGATCAAATCAGATCACTAACATAGTCCAAATATTTAACATGAGTTAAACCTTATTGCTTTTAAATTTGAAGTAAAGTTCCTGTTATACTTACAGCAGACAACGTTACTATCGTCACTGGTGACTAGTGAATAACCTTCATCACTGCAGCTATTTCCAGACTTGACAATTTCGAAATTTTCAATATCCGAATCACCACAATCAGAGTTATCGAAATCAAAAATTTCTACAGAATACGTTTTCAAATTATCTTCACATTGTGTTAATTTCATTTGGTCAATATCGGTATCTAATACTCTTAAAACAGCGCTTACATCCGCCTAAAATAGTAATTTACAAATTGTATATTTCCTACGTGAATGAACCCCTCTCAAAATAAGGTAATTCGAAACTTTCAATTGAACGTCAGCAGCTTCCTCCATCAGGCATTCGAATTAAAAAAATTCACAACGGAACACATAACTTTGTCTGGTCATGCTTTACAAGATAATGGCGGAATGAAGCTAGATTTGTGTGTGTGGTTTCTTTAACCATCCGTAAAGGTTTGGGCAAAATATCAGTCAATATTTGTAGACAGTTCTACTTTATATGAAACAGCATTTGGACTGCTACAGTGGTCAAATTTAAATGATCCAAGCTTCAATACTAACCTTTTCAAACGCTGCTGAATTCTGCTCAGCAACTAGATTTTCAACAGCCAACTTGTAATTTACATCTAACGATTTTTTACAAGCTTTGTTCAAACGAGAGTCTGTTTTGGTCAATTCAGCTTGAAGTTTTGTTCGGAATGAGTTTTTACAACTTGAAATAGGTGCACCAAATTCATATATCATCTTTATAGAATAACTATATACAGGAACCTTGGAAACTGAAAAATAAAAAAACGAAATGTTTCCAATAAAACCTAGTCATGACTATATATGTAATAACTAAATAAGATACAAGATACTACAAGACTAATACAAGTGATAGTTTCTGGCATACACACACTTTATATATTTGAAGACACAAACTACGTGTACCTCTATTGTAGATGCAAAAAAAGCCGAATTTATTTCGAAATTTAATGGTGAGAGTAGGAGGGAGGAATTTTGTCATAATTTCTGTTTCTATGAAGTAAGCGCACTCAAATTAAATACTCACCAAGACAATCTTCATTAGCATCAGAACCAGACCAAACTGCACTACCAGTGCAAGACGAAATCGATGTGCTGTTTCCACTCTTAAAATATGCTCCAGATTTACAGGTTGTTTTGCAGTTCAAAGCTTCTAAATTTCCTCCACAGATTCTGTTAGCATTAACCAAAGGTACCAACGTTTCTTCCAAACATGCATCGGCTGTTGATTAAAACAGAATCAGATAATGCAATTTATTCCGAAATAAAATTACTCATTAATAAGCATAATTCATTTATCTATATTAGAATACTAATTTTATAAAACATTTTATTTATTTATTAATAAAATTATACATTGCAATATAAATAACATACTTTAGAAATATTTTCAGGTTAATTTTACAAATTTTTTTTACAAAAAAGCGGAATGTTTCTTTAATAAGAAGAAATAACTAGAAAAGTAGAAGCAGGGACCTGATGTCTAAACGTTCTGTTATACTTCTGTGATGTTCCCCCATATACTCACCCGCGTCTCCTGCACTATAGCCAATTTTTACTCACCCTTAACTCCGACTAAAAATGTACACTGCGAAGACTGGCCCTGTTTCCCTGTAGCAGTACCGGTAACTTGAGTAAAGGTGTTAATGTTAGAAGTATCGTACTGTAAAGTTTTTGGGTTAATGGTCAAGTCACCATTTGATGTAATGTTCTCAACCAAATTTATCGACTGTGAACTTCTAACCATCACAGGCAGAGTCAGATGTGTTGGACACGTCAATGTTGGTCTCGGATCAACTTAAAGAAGAAAACATTATAATCACTATTATGATTGAGAGATATAGACTATACACGCCACTTCCCATTATGTCCCTCCCAATTTGACCTTTTTTTATTCAGCCGTTTACCCATTTCATTTAACTTTTTTCATTTAATTCCTGACCGTTCTGTCCCCTTCCCATTTTGTCCCTTTTTCCCCCTTCGCCTTCCTACCAGTTCTCTCCTTTCCCAAATGCACATGGGACAGGAACTCAAATTAGAACAAGTATGATTATGTAGCCTAGGCTTTCAAAAAAAAAAAAAACAAAGAAAGGGCGAAGTGGGAGGACGAAAAATCGGAAAGGGTGAAGTGTAAAGTGACAAAATGGGAAAGGGGTGAAGTGGGAAGACACCCCTATTTGTACATGTTTATGTCAAATTGTATTTAACGATTGTATTAGAATATGCTAAAATTGTACATTCTAATTCTGCAATTGGACTTTAAAATTGCACATAATTTTCATTCCCATGTACTCGATTATCTTTCCATTGTACATAGATATTCTTTAAATATTTTTGATTAAGGAAAAACGAAATCCAAAAAATGTACAAAATTATCCGATGTCCAAAATTGCTGTGAATAAAATGGTTCAAAATTTCAACCACTTATGTCACAAATGTATTAGAATATAAAGAATCCAGTTAATTTTACCTACCAGTTTTAACCTTATATTGGACTATACATTCCACTGTGTTATCTTCACCGTCAATGGCTTGATATGTTATATTTCGATCTACTAAAAACCACATTTTCGTACTCTTTACTGTATACTCTACAGTGACAAAACCCGAGTTATCAGTAGCTGTGGGAACGGTTAATGTTATTTCTTCTAATGGATTCACCATGATAGGAGAACTTGGACAATCTGTAAACTCAGGTGGCATTGTATCTGAAAGAAGGTTTAAATACATCTTCTATTAGTATTATATAAAAAGCCAGATGACAGATGACATGGTTCTAAAGGCAAGATGTGTAATGAGGACCAGTTTTATATCAGTATATTATATCACATTGACATCATTAAAACCCAGTAGATATGTTAGGTTTTGATAAAACTAAGACAACTAGGACAAGACATGACAGAATCTAGTCCATATAAAAATGACAAAAATCTGACCAAGAGAATTGTGTTAAAATATACCTAGGCATTTAGGGACCGTATCATTCCATTTGGCATCATTTGCAGTGCCTGCAATACATCCCAATGTTACATCTGGAACTGGTGAATAACCCGGTCTCATACATCGATAGTTTATAGTCTGTCCTATACCATAACCATCTGTAATCTGTTCAGCATTCGCTGGTGTTCCAGGGTCCGAACAACGAGCACCTTCAAACAAAATTATCATGTGAATGACATGAAAATGATATGATAATGACATGATAATGATATGATATGATAATGATATGATAACGATATGATAACGATATGATAATGATATGATAATGATAATGATAATGATATGATATGATAACAGTAACGGTCATGGTAATGATATGATAATGATACGATACGATACGATACGATACGATACGATACGATATATGATATGATATTTTAGTTCACCAGCTGTTTTGATAGTATGTTGTTTAGATTTCGGTTCGTTTTGCGGTTCGGATCGTTAGTACTTGACTTATTTTAGACCGAACATCTGTCTCTATTCCAGCCTCTGATAGGTATTTGGACAGATATCAGCTGGTGTCAAAGTATCAAGTGTCAAGAGGATTGAATAGAAGCAGATATTTCGGACTAGGCTTATTTATGAGTATGATTTTGATATGATAATGGTATATATTACATACATATATGACCATGATATGATCATGATAATAACCTTTGATGAAAAAAAAACCCAGTTCAATCAAAGCAAAAAATCTCCGATTGAATTAGAATTCACTTTCCACATGATTTCAATTTGAAATTGTAATTTGTTTATCCATCCATGCGCGTCACTTATTATATGATGAGGCATTTGGCTACCTTCAGAGAGTCGTGTACTGTTTCAAATACGTTTTGTTACATACACCACTACGGTTAAATTTATAATATTTTAGATTTGTCTTTACACCTACCAGAACATGTTAAATTGCCATATCTCCATCTGCCAGTCGAGTCACAAACTACTGTAGTATTCTCGTGGTCCATATCTGATGATCCAAGCAATGTAAATTGATCCATACATTCAAACATAAAACTTTGACCAACGTATGTGTTTGGTATAGCTGTATATTTTGCTCCCGGAATTGGTAAACGTGGACCACAGTCAATGACTAGAATAAACAAAAATGAATTTATTTAAAAAGAAGGGGAAGATTTGTGAATAGCGTTCAAAGTCGAAGGACTAGCTGGTGAACAGGATTTTTGTAAAATTCTACTGCAAGTATTTCAAGGAAACCTATTAAGACATTGTGACTGGTATAGAGAATACTAACTGGAAAATTGGGCCGAGTATAAAGACGACTACTGAGACATTGAGACTCGTATATAATATACTTACTGGGGCATTTGAACTCTATAGAATATACATACTGGGCCATTGGGCATAGAGGAGACTTTCCGTGGCAGTGGGGCTGATATAGAGAATACTTACTGAGACAGCGGAGCTGCTTACTGAGATACTGGGACTGTCCCAAAGAATACTTATTGAGACAGGTATTGGGCTGGTATAGAGAATACTAAGTGAGACAGCTCCTTGTTAAAAGAATGTTTACTGAGTCATTGTGCATACTTATTGAGACAGCGGGGTTGGTTTAGAGAATACTTACTGAGACAGTGGTACTTGTATAGAGAATACTTACTGAGACACTGGGACTGTTACAAAGAATACTTACTGAGACAGTGGGTCTGGTACAGAGAATACTTACTGTGACAGCTCCTGGTTTAGATAATGCTTACTGTGACAGTAGTGCTTGTATAGAGAATACTTACTGAGACACTGGGACTGTTACAAAGAATACTTACTGAGACAGTGGGTCTGGTACAGAGAATACTGACTGTGACAGCTCCTGGTTTAGATAATGCTTACTGTGACAGTAGTGCTTGTATAGAGAATACTTACTGAGACACTGGGACTGTTACAAAGAATATTTACTGAGACAGTGGGTCTGGTACAGAGAATACTTACTGTGACAGCTCCTGGTTTATAGAATGCTTACTGTGACAGTAGTGCCTGTATAGAGAATGCTTACTGAGACACTGGGACTGTTACAAAGAATACTTACTGAGACAGTGGGTCTGGTACAGAGAATACTTACTGTGACAGTGGTGCTTGTATAGAGAATACTTGCTGAGACAGTGGGGCTAGTATAGAGAATACTTATTGAGACATAAGGGGCTAGTATAGAGAATACCTATTGAGACATAAGGGGCTAGTATAGATGCGACTTACTAAGACAAAAGGAACTGGTATATATAATACGTACTGAAACAGCGGTGCTGCTAAAGATAATACTTACTGAGACAGAGGGGCTGGTTTGGAGAATACTTACCGAGACATAATGGGTTGGTATAGAGAAATGTTAATTCGACATAAGGGGCTATTATAGATAAGACTTACTGAGACATACTTGACTGGTATAGGAATACTTACTGAAACATTTATATTGTTATAAAGAATACTAAAAGAGACATCAAGACTGTTAAAAAATACTTACTGGGACATTTGGGTTCGTCACCGAGTAGTTCATATGTACTAGTTCCAACATTATAACTGCAGTGTAGAGATTTGTTGACTTTATTTCCGTCATTCAATAAGCATTCTATTATAACTGAGTCACCAAATTCTGTGTCAGTCGTGTGGGAACCGTAGTACTTCGATACTAGTTCCTTGGATTCATCAGATCCTGTATATTTCAGCGGACCACAGGTGGCTTCTAGATAATGGTAAATTAAATGAAATAGATAGACTCTCGTTTATTCTTTACCATTATTTGGAAAAATACTCTTGAGGGGTTACAAGATCTGAGGTAACTCAGTCGCATAGTTGAATCGGGTTCTCCAGATGGGTAAGCATACCCTTCCTCGCTAGCGACATCCGCCACAGTAGTTCATAGTCCCCCGTTATTACCACTAATAAAATAAAACTAACTTTTACAAATAGGTGGATCAGCATTCCATCCATTACTAACACACTCCAGCTCTTCATCTTCATTTAATTGAAATCCTATATCACATCGGTAACTTACTTTGTCTCCAAACGAGAAATTTTGTCGTCTTGATAATAGTTCTCCATGCTCAATATTAGCTGGTCGAGGGCATATATTGCCTGGAATAATTGGAAATATTTATGTAATGAGTTGTATGAGCAGTAAGTAATGTTACAAAAGCACAGGCACAGGCATGTAGGCATAACCTTTAGTGAGAGAGTATTGTTTGTGCAGTAAGTTTGAATAATATAATATATTTTGAATATATGAAATGGAAGTCCATATTCTTCAGAATCTGAAAATAGATGAAGAATAATGGTTCCAACAGGAACATTAATATCTATGGAAATCGTAAGAAATATTTTTTTCGGCTAAAAATGTTACTTTAAAGATGGGTTTCCTTATTTTTTATTGTCAAATTAAGCAAACTATTTGACAAATTGGTGTTTTAATGAATTATCATGTATTCTGAATCATATCATTATTTTCTTATTGCATATAATTAAACGTTTTAATCAATCATAAATGTCCACGTATCTGGATAAACAAATTGGAATTCTGCTGATAATTCTCTTCTAATTTAGCTCATTATGAATTAAATATTGACATGTAAGACAAACTGGTTTTTTTCCAATTCATTAGAACACCTCTACTTTCTATTAATATAATTATTAGCATTTTCATTTTCATAAATGAAATAAGGGAACCCATCTTTAAGTGAGAAGAGAAAATGCATATTCAGTGCACGTTTAAATACAAAGGTCATAATTTACAAACTGACTATAGCACGATAATGGATTTAAAAGATCAGTTGGGAAAATAATGACGAGGAAAATTTAATCGATGGGTAAGAGTAAGAGTTAGGTTGGGTTAGAGTATGGAGAATAGTAAATAGGATTTGAAATCTAAAGACGGAGCTACGGACTGAATCTACTTAACTGAAGGAGAGGCTGTAGTTCAGTCATTTGGAGAGAAGGAATTTTGACGTCATTTGCTAGATTACATGGATAATGAATAACTTGAAAGTATAACTTACGAACACAAGAGTGATCAAATCGTAAGACATCTCCTGGTCTTAATCCAGTTTCTTTATCCGACTTCACTTTATTATTGACCCCGTTTTCAGTGAATAGAGTAAATCCTACATTACATCCACATATATAACTTCCAACATTGTTGGTGCAGACTTGATCACAGCCACCGTTATTCTCATCACACTCATTAATTTCTGTAATTATTATACAAATATACTTTGTACAATCACTTACTTTAAACAATTACACCAATACATACTTTTCACAAATACATACTTTTCACAAATACATACTTTACATACTTACATACTTTACATACTTACATACTTTACACAAATACATACTTTACACAAATACATACTTTACACAAATACATACTTTACATACTTACATACTTTACATACTCACATACTTTACACAAATACATACTCTACACACTTACATACTTTACACAAATACATACTTTACACACTCACATACTTTACACAAATACATACTTTACATACTCACATACTTTACACAAATACATACTTTACATACTCACATACTTTACACAAATACCTACTTTACACACTTAAGTAATTTACACATTCACATATTGAACACAATTACATATTTTACACACTTACATATTTTATGCAAATACATACTTTACACAATTACATAATTTACATAAATACATACTTTACACACTCACATACTTTACACAAATACATACTCTACATACTCACATACTTTACACAAATACATACTTTACACATTTACATACTTTACACATTTACATAAATACATACTTTACACACTTACATAGTTTATATAAATACATACTTTACACACTTACATACTTTACATAAATACATACTTTACACACTCACATACTTTACACTAATACATACTTTACACACTCACATACTTTACACAAATACATACTTTACACATTTACATACTTTACACTAATACATACTTTACACACTCACATACTTTACACAAATACATACTTTACACACTTACATACTTTACATAATTACAGACTTCACATGATTACATGCTTTATATAAAAACATATAATGTAAATACTTCATACATAAATACAATCAAATACTCTTTTTACACGATGAAGTGTTTAATGAGGGAATGCTTGTCAAAAGGTAAATGTGAAAATTTTTTAACTGTCTTCCATTTACAAAGTTTTAAAACCAAGTAGAATACAAGATAGAATTATCATTAAATAATACATACCATGACAAAAAGAGTCACGGGACTCAAAACCAGATTTACACATGCATCTATATGAGCCTATTGTATTCATACAATCAGAATCATCACCACAGACCGACTGTTGACCGACACATTCATTAATATCTGGTAAATAGAAAACAATCATATCTTACCATCAAAATAAAGATAAGATAATAGCAATGTGGATTCTTTGAAAAAATACTGTATTAAAAAAAAATCTTTATTCTTAAATAATGATTTTTTATTATTGTTTCTATCATTTAAAGGGATTATAGGCAGGTTTTCTGAATTCTTTATGTGTATCAAGACCCTGATTACATCAATTTTCAATCAGACTTCTGTGGTTCTTGCAATTCCACTAAAACTAAGTGTTTGATGTCGTCACTAATCGCAAAATATGTTTCATCGAAGAAGGACTTTGCGATAAGTGACATCATAAAAGGCTTACTTGCATTGCAAAACGTCTCCTTGAAAATTGGAAATGTATGTTACCAGCGTTCATGATACACATAAATTTTTAGAAAACCTCTTGACAATCGCTTTAAATTAAATATCATAATACACTTCGAGTTGACAAATTCAGGAACATTAAAGGGGCTGTCTGCTTTTTTCAATCGTTTTGTGTTGTTTAGAGCGAGAAATACATCAAACTGCATGCCAACATGCAGAGGAAGATGCGTCTTACCTTTCGTGAAAGTTTTAACTTAAAATATCCAAGCGTTAAGTCACAAACAGCTAAACAAACAGCCAAACAAACAGCTAAAAAGAATCTTAACCGGTTACGTACGTATTTGAATCCCCCGGGCTCCATTTGTACTGTATTAGCAGATAATTGATTATGAGAAATGAATTCTGATTGGACCACCAATTATTAATATCCAATCAGCAGCTATTTCACAAACGTACCTCCAAAAGTGAGTTGCAGGTCCGTAGTGTGAAATACTCTGTCCATGCAAAAATCACGACGTCATGTATTTTTTTGGAACAGCAATTCTCAAATTTGGTGTTAAAAATGGTTTCCTCTGTCGTCAGGTCAACGAAGAGAAACTTTACAAGGAACAAACGTATCATGCATAATCAGCCCACTTTACACTTTGAAATTAAAGCAGAATGCCCCTTTAAACATGACACAAAATGGGCGAGTGGAGTTCGGAATACCAGGAGTACAAAAAGTTTAGAATCGAGAATCTAGGCAACAGTTTTATTTAAATCATATAGTACCAGTAGTTCTACTGAAAAGTCATCTTATACAGTTCTCATGTATTAGACCAGGGGTTTTCAACCTGGTGATAATGAGACACTTTGTAGTTCAGCATATTTTTTGACAATTATAGTTGAAGTCGTTCTATTCTTCGATATGAAAAAAGGTGGCATGGAAGACCTTCAGAGAAAACCGCAAAATAATAAGGATTTATAGGAGGAAGGGGGTAATGCATACGATAAAGGATCCTGAAGGGGGATTAGAAAGAAAACCCCATTCAGCTATATGAATATCTCATTGAAGTGGTTAACAACTTTCGAACAGTGTTATCGTCAATACTTCCCTCTTGGGTTGTCGTCTGCTAGGCGATTAGGTGCCGTGGGTTCGAATACACCTCAAGGTAAAAAAATTCTGATGCCTGTGCGTGTCATTCCGAGAGTCGGCCGATGTCGACTTTCATCACCTAATACCTAAGAATAAAACATCAAAATATAAAAGTTGTCACCTACCCCCACATATTATTTCACCATCGAATGTCTGGTCGGGACCACAAGTTATTTCGTCTGTTCCGTTTATCTCATATCCGTCTTCACAAGTGTAGGTGACTTTACTTTCAAACTCTACAGGTTCCTTTGTTACTGTACTAGCATGTTTAAAGCTGGGTATACCACATTTCTTTTCTACAAATAGATACATAAGATAGTTTGCAGAGTAAGGTATCATAAATCTTTATAATACTACCGTAAAAACTAGAAAATACCGGAGGTAGGGCCAAAAATGAGAGTTGTCCCTTCGGGATGGGGGTCTGGGGTCTGTTTTGATCCCTGTGAAATAAACGGATTTCAGATAGCCTATGAGATGAACTTTTAGCATCTAGTGGGCTTCATTTTCACTTCGCGTCCTATGCCGCCACAAAGGACGTAAATGCAAATCTTTTCTCATCTCATTTTATGTCTTTTATTCGTAAACTTTGCCAGAATTTAAAATACGATACTAACTAAAACACTGAGGTTCCTTATGAGACCACTTTCCAGTAGTTAAACAGACTAATTTTACAGAACCAACCAAATCGTAACCAGCATCACAAGAATATGTGGCAACTGAGGCAAAATCAGTTCCTGTTGTGTTAGCTCTTCCATTCGGCACCACGGGAGGGTCTCCACACGTTGATGCTGAAAAGTGTAAATAGTTACTATTAAGCCCTTCTCATTGTACTTTCACTGGTATAAATAAATTTACAGTGCGTAGTTGGAGCTTTATAACATTACGTACTGCAAATTGCCATCCTTATAGCCCAGTCTAAGGATACACCTTGTAGCTTATTAACATAACATTCTGTAAATTGCCATCCTTATAGCTCTGTTTTGAAATACACACTGCAGCATAATAACAACTGTTTCCGAGTTACAAGTTATTGAGAGACATCTTAGCCATTTATCATGTAATTATAGATACATTGATCTGATTATGCAATTGTTATGCAACAAAAATTTGACTACTTCATGACCGTGTGAAGCGACGGCAAATTATCATTCCGTAATTCTAGTAATTTCACACAAATTTGATCAGCCATTTGGTTTGAACGTGAGCATGTGAAGCCAGAGAGAATCAATGTAGTCGTACGATACGAAAGAACTGGGTAGAAATACCGTTGAAATGATATATATTATGTCAGTTGTCTGGAAATAAAATGAAATGGAATGAATGGAGTTTTACGTGCTACTTTTCTGCACCTTGTGAGCCAATGAAGACGGGCAACGCCATGCAGGGTGCAATGAGGGAAATTTTGCCAGGACAGCGGCATTAGCCTGCTCTTTTTCGATTTCCAACTGTCGAGGGATCTTTAACGTGCACATCCTGTAGCACACGGGGCATCGGTTAATTGTCCCATCCGAACGACTAGACGCTGTTTCCATGTCAGCCCCTCTTACCTGCATCACTGACAGGGGGAAACCGGGTTGCAAAATCCGAAGGTATTATCTCGACCTATGCCGGGATTGAACCCTGTTTCAACTATTTCAACAGTGAACGTTTTTCATTATCGTATATGTGGTTTTATGAAGTTAAAACTTGTACCTGCACATGTAATATCACTACTGTAGGAACCAGTATCTAAGCAGGTAGCCAAGGGTGAGATTGTGTTCATTTTGAACCCATCGTAACAGGTATACTCCACTTGTTCATTATACATAACACTTCCGGTATAGTTTGATATATAACCATTTGGTATAGGTGGAGGGACACCACAATATGTTACTGAAATTAAAACCATAGCAGGTTAGGCAAGGAAACATAAACCATGGTAAGCAACGTCCTACTTTGATGCATTTTATTGGCTAATGAAGACGGGCAACGCCCATGCCAATAGTTATATGAAATGAAAATAGAGGTGTTTTAATGACTCGAAAAAATACCAGTTTGTTTCGCATGTCCATAATGAGTTCATAATAAGCCAAATTAGAAGAGAATTACTAGTAGAATTCAAATGAGTGGCCGATCAAGAAAGGTCAAAAAGTCTCCTTTTTTGGTTTATCTAAACTGCAGGCCTACATACATGGACATTTATGATTGGTTAAAACTCTTAATTATATGCAATAAGAACATAATGACATGATTAAGAATACATGATAATTCATTAGTAACACTAAATAAATAAGGAAACTCATCTTTGTTATTGTTTTTTCAAAAAAAAAAGAATAAAAAACAAAAAAAAACAGTAAATGAATAATACACTGTCCCTCAGTCTATTTATGATCATACTCAAACCTTTCCCGTGGAAAATTTCTCTCATAGTCGAATGAATCTGTGATATTTCACCTATCATACGTGACATCAATGGGTAAAGAAACTTCATAAAAGGAATTTTGTTAGAGAAATAATGTAAATATTTTACCTTGGCAAGTAGGATAAACGTCATAATTCCATTTACCCCCTTCCAAACATACAAAAGATATACTTTGTTGACCGTTATATTCGGCCTGGGCAAATGAATATCCAGTATCACATGAAATGTCTACCATTGTAGCAGGGGTGGTGTCACTAGTTGATATCGTCATATTCGGATGAGTTGGTATATCTGGACAGCCTGAAATCAATTACAACAAAGATATAGCGATGTGTATAAATGCAGCGATTTGATTGGATAGTATGGAAAACCCCTAGAAACCTCTAAAGAAAGATTGTAAATAACATGACTTATTGTTTAAAGTTTTCCCTTCAAATCCAATCAAATCGCTGGCTGCTCTGTGAATTAATGAAAATGACCACCTTGTTTTCAACAAGGCCACGTTCGTGAAATTTCTTAAAGTCCATTCCCAAAAATTCTCCGAGAACTTCAGAGGTATTTTTCAATCCGGCAAGATTCTCATTTTATTTCACTCAAAGGTATGTCTTCTGAAGCTATGCGCCTACCATAATCAGATCACGAACTTAGTTGACCGCCATATAAAAGGACTTTCTCAAACCAAATGCCTTTAAGACAGGTATGTGCGTAAGGCGTATAATGTTTGCAGATTATGCTGGAGAATTCAAGTTGCAGTCAAATAAAAATACGTGTACACGTTATATAACATCTTGTTGAAATATGGTTGTCCTTTCTAAAAATTCGACAAATTATGTCTGGTGAGGTGATTTAATTGTCGTTACGTACCCAGCGAGTACTTTATCGAGAATTTTCCCGCTGATTGAATAAGGTTACTAGTGAATTTCAGGTAAAACTGATTGCCTACAGCTAAACTCTTAGAGCCCACTATTTCATTGAACCCTCCATCGGAATGATATGAAGTTGACATACTTTCTTCGTCAAAAATCTGAAATACAAACATGGTTCAGAGATAAACGTATCGACAAGGTTCAATTTTACAAATACAACACTGACTAACTTATCCCACTGACTAGTTTACATCTGACTACTTATCCCACTGACTAGTTTACATCTGACTACTTACACCACTGACTAGTTTACAACACTGACTGTTTACATCTGACGAGTTCAGATCACTGACTGTTTTCATTGCTGACTAGTCTAAATCTGACTGACTGACAACTGACTTGTTTACATTATTGACGAGTTCACATTACTGACTAGTTTACATCACTCAATAGTTTACATCAGTCACTAGTTTACATCACTGACTAGTATACACCACTGACTTGTTTACATCACTGACTAGTTTACATCACTCACTAGTTTACATCACTCACTAGTTTACACTCGTGTTAGTTGGAATTTTGGCCAAGTGTCAGTTGACATCATGGTTAATGGACACTAGTGTCAGAGGACATCAGTGTCAGTTGATATCAAGGTTAATGGACACTAGTGACAGAGGACATCAGTGTCAGTTGATATCAAGGCTAATGGACACTAGTGACAGAGAACATCAGTGTCAGTTGATATCAAGGCTAATGGACACTAGTGTCAGAGGACATCAGTGTCAGTTGATATCAAGGTTAATTAATGGACACTAGTGACAGAGGACATCAGTGTCAGTTGATATCAAGGCTAATGGACACTAGTGTCAGAGGACATCAGTGTCAGTTGATATCAAGGCTAATGGACACTAGTATCAGAGGACATCAGTGTCAGTTGATATCAAGGCTAATGGACACTAGTGTCAGAGGACATCAGTGTCAGTTGATATCAAGGCTAATGGACACTAGTGTCAGAGGACATCAGTGTCAGTTGATATCAAGGTTAATGGACACTAGTGTCAGAGGACATCAGTTTCAGTTGATATTAAGCAGTTGAAAGCGTTTGGAATAGTCAAACACCCAGTCTTGATAATGTTTTCAATATACTCACCTTGATATTATCAACTTTATCTGCCAGTTCAAGTTTCTCTATCACAATAGTATATGGTCTGTTGGTATTATCTGGATCAGTAATAAGCCAGGAACATGTTGTAGATGGTGAATACTCTTCTTTAATATACCCAGGTGAATGTATCATACCATGCGTCTGAGCCAATTTGAAAGTACAACCTAAATAGAAGAACGGAAATGTAATGAAGGTACTGTCAATTATGCCACACTACAACCTATATCTTATTTTTGTTTTCTTATATTTTTTGCCGTTGTAATCTAAAAAGCACAAAGGTCGTAGGACGTTCCTCTGAATTTTTAGAAATATTATGTATATTAGTACATCTTTTACTCAAGTTCATTTATCGTCATATTTTTTTGCTTAAATAAACCATCCGAACCAAACGATTCTAACCGTAAAACGAAACCCGAAATCCAAACAACATTGGTGCCACATTAGTAGAAGTATATCAATCATAGGTGAGTAAATCTAACTTTGTGACATCGATATCCTTTATAGAACCTGGCATTATTCTGAGTGGAAGGAAGATCGTTGTCCTTCAAAGGAACAAGTGCGCCATTTCATTTTGACCAATTATACTTTAGTCTCAGAAACCGCAATTTTTTTAGCTGAGCCAATCAGTAATAGTGTTCACACTTCACTGATGAAATTTGAGCCCTCAAATCCATGTGTGTCCAGAATCATCCACAGTTGAATGTTAAAATGACGACTCGTCCTAGAATTCCAGCCAACCCTCTAATTTCATATTCACATCTAGCTTGCTTGTCTTGTATCTTTATGAATAAGATTTGTTTGAGAATACCTTTCTTGTAGGAGATTCTATACCCGGTCTGGCCAGGCGGTACAAGAGCATAATAATGTATAATAATTCTCAGGGCATTGGACTTAGTAGTGATCACAAAATCGAAATGACTGTCAGTAGCCGTTTCAATTCCGATAATTTCAGTGGCGGGTGATAAGTCTTCTCCATCATAAATATAAACCATAAACTTCGTGCCCTCTTCTGTATCCTTGATAAATTCTTTAACCTGAAAAATATTTATTACATAAAATAGAATGGGAGTTTTACCTACAAGGGGGCATGTGGGTGGTGTGGTATTCCCGAAAAAATGGATTGCCTCCCTAAAAAAAAAAACAACCAATTCCATTACTTAACTAAACATCATACACCATTGCCCCTCTGGATATATTACTTGCCTTCCCGAACTTTCAAGTCTGGTTACATTACGAGCCTGTTTACATCCTATGCCTAACTGATTTGGATATGAATCTGCCAAGCAGAGCAGTATGTAGTTATTTTTCTCATAAACATCAGCTAAAATAATTGAATGATGGATGATTGATGATTATTCTGTCATCGATCTTCAATTGATTGAATGATGAAATGATGATGAATGATTGAATGATGATGAATGATTGAATGATGATGAATGATTGAATGATGATGAATGATTGAATGATGATGATGAATGATTGAATGAATGCATGAATGAATGATTGAATGATTGAAAGATGATGAATGATTGAATGATTGAATGATTGAATGATTGAATGATGAAATGATGATGGATGAATGATTGAATGATGATAAAATGATTAATAATTGAATGAATGGACAATTGGAATGGAATGAATGAATTACCTTAAAAGATATAACCTCGCCTTTTTCAGCTCTAATCAACCATTCTTTATAAAAATATCGAGGACTATTTGGATAAAATGGAGATGTTATAACTTGCCAGTCGTTAGTAGCTGTTAATTCTATAACTCCACTGTTTAATTCCGGAATATCTAGACAAAATATAGAAACATCGACAATATGATAGATCAAAATACAATTTCAAATTACGTTTACATCCATACCCATGAAAAGTTCAAAGTTACCTTGATCCACATTTTTATATCTGGATAACTGGTTATAACCGAAAAAGTTTATTTGTCAGTCTGGAAGCATATGGAAGTTATTCGGATAGAACTGGACAGAACCAAATTACTTTTGCAGTGAGAAAGGGGTATTAGCATACTAACACTCGCGTCCTTCGTCTTCAACCGACAGTAAGTAAAATATACGACTCGGCTGTAACATAATTATTGAAATACAAATTAATATCTCCTTGATTAAAATACGTTTGATTACCTGAAGTCCATTTGATTTTGAAACCACTTTTAATAACGCTAGAATCAGTTTTAAATTCTATCAGAGCTTGATTTGATGTCATGTAAAACTCCTGGTTACTTTGTTGTCCCGAGAGAGTTGCCACATCTATAGTCTGTATAGGATCATAAATATGGACATAATCTCTATGTTCTTCAGTGTTGAAATTTTCAATCTGAAAAAAAAACAATAATACTTCTAGGAACCTTTATCAACATCAGGCAGCAGAAAAAATATTACTTAATACAATTTAATCCAGACCACGTATTCTTGAAACGATCTTAACGCTATGGTGTCCTAGATAAGATAGGATTTTCAAAGGTTTGTCATGTTTTTCAGACGTTTGAGACTCACGACCCAATATTATACCCCCTATATAGTTGTCATCTCCAAAAACTACAAAAACAGCATTAATATCACCAAATACAGGAATCTCAAAGGGATTGTTAAAGAGGTTTTCTAGTATTCCATGTGCATCGGGGACATTGATAGCATTAATTTGCACCATTCCAATTTTCAGTGATAAGTCTGTGGTTCCTACAATTCTACAAAAAAAAGGGGTTTGATGACGTAACAGATCGCAAAATGATTAGTATCACAGTCATATGTTCGTCCCGATTAGTGACGTCATCAAACACTTGTTGTAGTAGAATTGCGGGGCCTACAGACGTCTGATTGAAATTGGAATGGTCACACTACACATAATTTTTTTAGAAAACATCATTACAAATCCCTTTAATATTACCGAAAGTTTGATTTGTTTTCCCACTGGTCCAATAATAGTCCATGTATGATAAGCATTGTCTTTATATTGATTACTGTTTGTAACTTCAATTTCACCAGAGATACCAGTTTCTTCATATGTGGATTGATTCGCTGGAAAATACACAAAATATGTTTGCCAACCATCTAGGATATTAAATGACGAAAGTGATACAAAGTGCTGGAATACAATTCTCTCAGCTGGTGACATAAATTGTGTGATTACTTCCCCTTAATTTCTTGGTTTGAAAAACGAATCTTTCCAGAATTTTGAAATTCCTTGAACTCTGTTGGTCCAAACAAAACGATGTGAAATTTATGAAAAAATAAAATGCACGAGAGCATAATATGTTTAAAAAAAAGTCCATAGGTCACCACTTGTCTAGTTGGGCCACTGTAAATTAACAGAAAAGAATTGAACAAACGGATACAACGGATATATCCTTTATCAAGTCAAACGAGTTTACGGGGTAAGACAAAAGATACTTACGACAATTCTGTTCGTCAGAACCGGATGCCTCACAATCTCTCTCTCCATCACAAACCCATTTCTTGCTGATACATCCGGTGTTGTCATGACAACGGTAACCACCTTCAACACATGCCTCAGTTCGACAAATATACTGGTTCCTCTCAAAACATTGTGCAACTTCCCATTTACCGTCTTCATTTTGAGCCAAACACTCAGACTTTTCTTCTAGATTGGGCAAACTTTTTGACTTTGGTTCGAACAGATCAAACAACCCAAATGCTTCGCATAACTCTAGGAATTGAAAATACAGATCAAAATGTATATAACATTTATATTAAAGCGTAACATTTCTGCTGGATATTTTCTGCCCATGGTACTCGATATCGATCAGCGGTAGATTAATCGAACCAATTTACACTACAGATGGATTTATTGGAATACCTGACTCCTTGTGTTCTGAAGAAGTTACCTGCATGGTAGCCCAAGTCCTTAAACTGACTTCCTAAACATAAGAAAAGTTCTATTTGAATCATTATAGTTGTCATACCAGAGGCCTTATTCTTGAAAACTTCACTCAAGATGAGTTCAGTGTTCCAGTCATCTGATTGGTCAATCACTTAAATTGATTTTAAATCAATTTTATTATCCAATCAGATTATTGTATTTCTAAAATATGTTTTTTAAAGTTAAGTTTTGGAATATAAGGCTCTAGAACCCCGACATTTAGTATCTGTATTGTAGTTATCTCGGCTCACCCTTTTAGTTTCCATCTCAGAATGTGCACTCCAGTCATCTCAATTAAGCACTCACTAAACGAATTTTTAGCTATGCCAATGGAAATTCCAAATGTTTCCATGCAAAATATGCAGAGATTGCAGACTTACTCGAGTTAAGAATCCACACTTTCTTCCAAGACTTTTGTTTGACTAATCCGTAGATAAAACTATTCTCGGTTTCATCTCTGATCTCTACCAACTTAGAACTTAGTCTACAAGTAAGAAATGAAAACGATAACCTAGGGCATTTCATTGGTGTATATCTATCAATCTTTTACATACACCAACATGACATGGTGCATAAAATGATTTAAGGGGTTTCTGTTGGCCGTGATGTGTATTGAGGGACATTTATAGGCAAGGTATGCTTACTCTTCTACCACTTTTCATTATAAAATACTTACTCACTTGATTGATATACTTCTTCAAGTGAAAAGTTCATTAGCTGCTACTAATGTTTTGCCAGAATGTTGTTTTGATTTCGGGTTTCGTTTCGCGGTTCGGTTTATTAGTACTTGGTGTATTTATTGTATATTTTTGCACTATTGCTAATTTCCTATTGGACGTTGTGGATTTCCGTATTTCAAGAAAACAGATTATGATTTTCAAATAGTTGACTTTGGTGTTTCATATAACATACCCTTTACAGGTTCTCTCTGCATTTGAAAAGGAAGTTGGAATCTCAACCGCCAAGTAGCAATGTCCACCATCTCGTACCCATCCTGAATCAAACAGAAATAAAGCATTGTTTGTTAATAAGATAAATGGGATGTCATTTGTTAATAAGATAAATGGGGTGTCATTTGTTAATAAGGGAATACAGAGGTCATTTGTTAACAAACGCAAACAGAGGTCATTTGTTAATAAAGGCAAACAGAGGTAGAGGTCATTTGTTAATAAAGGCAAATACAGGGGTTATTTGTAAATAAGGGAATATTGATGTCATTTATAAATGAGGGGGCTACAAATAATATGGAAAAAAGAGGTCATTTGTTAATAAGGGAATACAGAGGTCATTTGTTAATAAAGGCAAACAGAGGTCATTTGTTAATCAGGAAATTCTGATTTTGTAGTCTGAATATGGAAATAGGAACGTGAACGTGAATTTGAGTAATAACTGTAAACTTCCACAGAATTGTCAACATGTGATATAAATGTAGACCTACCTTCCTCGCAGTGGAAATCGATAGATGCTTGACTGACAACCTGAAAGAGACCATACAATATATTTATATTTATAAAGTTCTTAGATAAAAGGCCTGACAATCTTATGATCCCATGTTCTAAATAAGAAGGGGTGGGGGCAAGGCAATGACCCCATTAGCCCCTATGCTGACGCCCGTGCTGACTTCGTCTTTCACATTTTTTGCAAATTTTGTTCTCGTAATGTAGCAATTTTAATCTGCGCTTATTCAAACTATTCAAAATCAACCATTGATAAGTTAGATTACATTGGTTTCATAACATCCTTAATCTTTCAATCTGGTGTGACGTTAAATTTCAATTATTCACCAATTCATTTTGTTTGTTAAAAATATACTCCTTTTCTATCGTTCAATGATCTCAGACAACATCTTAAAATTAGAATATCACGATTTTAGTCGAATTAAGCGGTGCCTAGAGATTTTTTTTAACCAATTTAAAGCGCTGGAGAAGGGAGAAATTTGATCGGTCATCGAGTTACGTCAAAATGTTAACTTGACGAACGTTCATTAATTAGTTAACTGAAGTGGCTACATTAAAGTTAAAAGCAAATAAAAACGGAACGAAAGTTTGGTCTAAGTTTAATTAGACTGGTAAGTCGTTGAAACGCAGTTTATAAATTGAAGCTGTAAGTGTCCACGAGTCACATACAAAGACTTGAAAACTTTTTTATGTCCTTAAATTATGTCTCCCTGGTGGTTTAACGGTCCGGTTGCGCCTTAAAGAATATTGTTAGAGTAAACAGAATCAAAGATAATTGTATGGATAAATTGAACGTGTTTGATTGGTACATTGAGGTAAACTTGAGACGTTTTTAAGTGAAATGAAAAGAAAGTCGATAAATTAACTCAAAATCAATGAGGCGGAATGAACATCATTTAAGCGAAATATAGGGTAATGTGAAACAAGCACATGACGAGGTTGTAAAAATAGAATGAAATCCTCTCTACACGCTGAAAAAAAGCTTGTGTTGAAACAACACAAGTTAATACACAAGTGATATGTCTATAATTGAAGGCTTTTTAAAATCAACCACTCTGATCTGAATTATTGATGAGAAATGAAATGTTTTACGCCCTATTTTTTTTAGGATGGGGGGCGGTGGGACATTTCCCTACTTTGCTCTGCTGTAGCTACGAGCCTGCCCATCGAGATCACGAGTAGTGAGTCATAGCATAGTCTCTCTTCCGAAACACCTGTAACTCTACGCCTGGAATCGTCAAGTTGTCAACCCCTTTAGAGGGTTCACATTGTTAATATTATATTTTATGTTTCGTATAATTGATTGATCTAAAGTTTTATTAAAGAAGTTTGCTTTTTCTAGAATTTAGTTTGTAAAACAACTAAGATAGATGAAGGAACCATCAACCTATCCTTGGCCTAACCTTATCTGTTTCGTCAACAAGAAAATAAGAAAAGTCTATTGAAAACCATAGGGCGTAAACAATTTTAGAGCATTATGAAGCATTGGACTGCAAATGAATATAATGTTATATAATGCGATGACAACAAGCTGGATCTAATACACAGTTTCATTATCAAAATTTAATTATCTTTAATGTGTGTCCTTTCTTTGTTTAATAATCCTGACTCAATTTTCATATTCAATGTTTTTCATCTGAATTTTATAAACTTTGTTAAACTGGGTGTTGGTTGTGGAAGGTCTAGTTACCTACATAGATTTGGTAATGTAGGAAATGTATGTTTATTATCATACAGACCTCAGTGTTCGTAAATAGTGCGAAATTAGTTACTCCCCAAAGTATTCGCTTACTCGCCAGGGAGGGGGCTAACTTGCCCCTCCCCACTCCGAAAAAATGGCCCCTTCGAATATATTACAACAGATTAAACGGGTCTTCCCCAGAAAATTTTGAAAATTAGATCCCGGAAACGCCATTTACGTTCATTTTGATAACCATTGAAGCCACCAAATATCGTATCCCCACCCCCTGAAAAAAGTGGTGGAGACCTGTGCCCGTGTCCCCACCTCCATCTGCGCCCATGTGTGAAACTACACTCCATTTTCTATAGTATCTATCATAAATCTATATACCAAGGAGAGAATATATGGTCCAATGCACTAGAAAAATTGTCACTGAACACCTTAAATTTATATACATGTTTTTCATTTTATACAAACACCCTGGGACGTCTGAGATTTATAACATATCTTTTATATTTGTATAATAACTAAATTTACTATGCCAAACAGTTTACCGTGAAAGTTCCGCTTGTGCTCTGCAACACAATCGGTATTTAGTTTAACGGCAACCATTTTTGCCAGTATTACGTCCAGAGTTTCAAGTAAAAACGAGATTCTTATAAGTCAGACATTAGACGTTGATGTTTGTAGACAAAGCCAATTAAAACAAAAATCATTGGTGAAATGCCGGTAGTAAAGAGGCTGGTCCAAGAATACACAACGAAATCAACCATTCATTACCGAGGTAGATTTGGCTTTACGAAAACTGACGAGAGTAGCAGTATGTTACTATGAATACGTTACAGTTTGTTAAACATTTTAAGGTGAACTTTAAACAAAACAATTCGTTACGAAGAAGAATTAAAGGGAGAATTCGTATAAATTTTGGTTTCTCACCTAACAGCTCAATTCCAGGTTTTTGGAATGAATACCCTTTGTTCAGCATGTTGTAGAAAATATGTGTCCTGTCAGACGGGCACCTGACCCCAATATTTTTGTCAATTTAGTAGATCAAGCTTTTATATGGAGCTTCTGAGAGAGTTCCTATCTGATTTGGTGCATTTTGACAAATAGTTTGGGGTTTAAAATGTATAAAAACATATTTTCAAATGTGTAAGAAATGCAGTGGCGATACAAACAATTTTTCTTGCGGGGTAAATGAAACTACCCAACAACCCCCCAACCCCCAGCCCCCACCACAAACAACACACACCCACGCTACTACTGCATACAATCAAGGAATTGAAAAGAAATTTTAAGAAAATTCATAAAATTTTCACATTTAAAATATGCAATGTCTCAAGTTATTTGTGCAATGAAAATCAAAATCCATCGCCTAGAGACCTGTCGATATTGGTAATTTTTAATAGCAATGTTATTTATTATAATGAATAGGCCTGTCAGCTAACGGATCGTCTGGTTCAACTAGCTAACAATGTGACAAGAGTCACCATCACGTATCATACAAAACTACGTATAGTTCTTATATAGAAATAACACACACGAACGTAGTTCACAACCATTTTGAATCTCTTCCTCGACTTAATAAGTCGAAGTTAAGAAAAACTATAATATTTCAACTAAGCCTTTAAACCACTTTTAAGTTTTATGAAGGCTTTGTTGAAACATTGTGGCCTTTTTAAAAATTCGACTTATTTATCGAGGTAGTCATTCAAGATGGTTGTGAACTACGTTCGAGGTGTGTTATTCCCATGTAAGAACCATTCGTTTTTTCACATCCATCAAGTATAGCAATAACCTTTGAATTTTGTCAATTAGGGCAAAAACAAGCAATACTTCTCTTTGACTATTTGCTTATAATTTTACAAAATTAAGGAAAAATGAACAATACGTTCAATAACTACGGCGGCTCATTTAGGACATATTCAGTTACATGTATTTGAAATAGAAATCAAATCAATATCAAAATTCAAAGGGGCAGAAATAGACAATAGGAAACGAAAATGATAATTTAGGAAACGAAAATAATAATTCAATAAACAAAAATAATAAAGTATCAACTTAATTCATAATTTTAAAAGGATAGATTCGTCCAAAACGAGCTACTATAAAAAAAAAATCTTTCAACGCCTTTTGCGTATTTTAATAACCTGTATACAGACATAAAAATCTGCATGTTTTTGTTGCTAAGCTCCATTAGATACCCTAAATATTGTTCGGATTTTATCAGTTAACGCGAATTTGATAATATAGTTGTACAACATATAGACAACAATCACTGGTTAAGGTTCTATGCAACTTTTCGTCCTACTCGTGCCTGGGGACGACGGTTTCGACGTGCAACGTTTCGACGTGTTCCCCCGTTATTCTACTCGTGCCTTAGACGACGGGGGAAACACATTGAAACGTTTCATAAATCTTTAACCAGTAATTGTTGATCAATAAAGCTGTATCTATATATAGTATTTAAATGTTGTATAACCCTTTATGTCGGGGCAATTGCGAAATGAGCACATCAATATTTTGAATGTTATCTTATGAACTATAACACCAGGATGTAAAATATTTCAAAAAAGTTTTCATCAAATTTCTTTTAAACCTTTATAATTTTTATTCACTTAAAATGACATTAAATCGTGAAATTTTAAAAATCTACAGCCACACCCAAATAAAACCTCGCTTCTTAAATAAAAAAAAAGACGGTATTCACTCCAAAGATTATGTGTGTAATTCAAAAGGCTTATTGAGAAATCGTGTGTGGAATTTGATACTGTAAACTGACATTATATTCACCCGCCATGTTGACCCTAATATACTAGATATATTTTACAGGGTTAATAAACCCATTGTTCTCTATAATCCGAAGAGACAGTAGGGAAAACATGGGGAATAAAATACCGCGACACTGGATGGCTTCATATAAAACATATTCAATCTCATACTCTTTTTTGGGGCAAAAACTTTTAAAAATCACATTTTTAAATTTGTTGTAAAAAACTTGGAGGTACTTTTGAGGATACGAACCATTTTTCTAAAGACTTAACTGAATCGTGTTAGTTACTAAACCTGTATTTTGCCTGTAGTTGAGAAAACCTGTCGGATTTCATAACCACTTAGCATAAACTTAGCTTAGACTGTTTCATGAATAAATTTACATACTTTACATAACTTACGGCAAAAATGACAAATAAATAAAATATCGAAATCAATATCTTACTGAAGACGAGGCTTCTGATTCATAAATTTAATACACATTTTCAAACTCATAGTCTTGATTATGCTTTCAGATCCGAAATACATGTTAGTACTATAAGTTCAGCTCAAACAGAATTATGCATTCATGTCGAAGGGAATGTCAACATAGAACGATTGACCATATTTTACCATAAGGATTTCGTCCTCATTCCTTTTCATTGTATTTTTATAGCAATGTTTTTCTCTGGTATGCGAGATGTTTTAAGTGTAAAATGTTGAATTAGAAATGTCAAAATTAGGTTCACATTGGACAATTTTTCTAATGAACGATTGCAATTAATTGGGATTAAAATCAAAGATATTGGCGGCGGTCTCGATCTGAATAGGTGCCTTATGTAAAACTATTATCAAACTTTGTATAGAAGCGTTACTGCAGATCAATTCTTGGCCCTAGCACGAAGTAGGGGCTGTGATACCTCGGCCCATGTAGATCACTGTCTCAATGTATATTGATTGAGGATACTGCTCCACCCCCTCTAAGATATATAACTTGAAGAATATTTGTCCTGTATATCGTATGATATGTTTAAATGAAAAGGATGTCCCGAACTAGAGGTGTTCAAATTTTATTTTCTCGCTCAATTCAGGAAGTTCTGATTCGGGTTTCAAGCTATGTTAACTTCAAACACATTATTTTGTCACGATAAATTAGATAAATGATGACTATAATAATATATACTGAGGAAAGCTGTGCTATAGGTTAGACCCTTATTACATAAACCCTGCGACTGAAAATAGAGTATATATGTCCGCGGCTATGCTTCTATAATATCAGTAGAATTTAGTCTGGCAAACGCGCTTGGATGTATTATCTGATGCCGTACCACAACTGTCTTGGACAACACGCCAGTTATTCTGTCGGACAGTTCATGCAGTTAATATCATTCTCAAAATGTACACGCAGTTAATCATGTGTTTTTTCAAATTTGTTTTGACTTCCGAATGGGTTACAATGGTTATAAAGTTATTTGCTGTTTGAGTTTCAAATAGAACATATAATTCATAATGTTTTGCCGTATGTCATCTTTCGGAGATTCCACATAGATAAAAAGGTTTATTTGGTTATTTGGGTTTGGCATCTAAGTGTCCCTTTCGGAGATTCCATACAGCTAAAACTGCTTATTTGGTATTTTGATTTGACAGGAGAGTTTCTCTGTTTGACAGACCAGATAAAGCAAATGAAATAGAGGTATTTTTTTTAACCGTAGTGCAATCTATCCCTGGTATATTTTAAAACATTAAAGATAAAAAGTTTAGAAAATTTTAAAATATTTGTTTTATGATATTCTTAGAAACTGCCACTTACCTGTCGAAACTGATAAAATATCGATATAATTCCGAAAAGCGTAAAAATTGTCCTCATTTTGACACCGTTATCAAACCCCTATTCTGGTGTCATCTCTAGAACCCCAATGACAGTAAGCTACAGGTGTATGTAGACTAGTAGCTTGTTAGATTATAATGGGCTGGGTTTAAGCAGGATTTTAACAAACCGGTGTCTCCTATCTTCAGCTCAAATCACCAGATTCACTCAGCCATAAACTACTAGTTTAAAGTGTCCATTCTTAACATTTCATTTTATGAATAAATTGACATTCAATCTCGGGGAAAACTGACTTGTAAAATTCTGGGGAAAAGGTCCATGCGTCAGTAAATCATAAATAAGAAGATGTGTAGTACAACAGAGGGTAGGGGTACAGCCAGGAATGTAACCCAGGCAATGTGTGGTATTCTATTAACAGACAATAGTACAAGCAATAACCAAGAGTTATAGGTGATGTTTGGTGTTTCTATAAACATACAACAGTACATCAGCAGAGGACTATACTCTAGAATAAAACCCAGAGTGATTCTGTTCACTGACAATACTGAAATAGTGAACCATCTGTAGATTGCTGAGAGTAAGGTGGTGTCTGGAAATCTTATAAGCAGACATAAGTACAACAGTGGACCACAATCTAGAATATAGCCCAGAGTAGGGTGATGTCTGGTGTTTATATAAGTGACATAAGTACTACAGTGGATTACCCTCTAGAATATAACCCAGACTGGGATGGTGCCTTGTGTTTCTATAC